TGCCAGCTACATCAGCCAATTCCGTCAGGACTCTGGGATGCATCTTGTCAGTCCCATAGACTGAACAGCCCCAAGTCTCTCAACCTGTCCTCACAGGAGAGGTCTTCCAGCCCTCTGATCATTTTTGGGGCCCTCCTCTAGACCCGCTCCAACAGATCCATGTCCTTCTTGTGCTGGGGGCTCCAGAGCTGGATGCACTCTCACCAGAGTGGAGTAGAGGGGCAGAATCCCCTCCCTCGACCTGCTGGCCAGGCTGCTTTTGATGCAGCCCAGGATACGGTTGGCGTTCTGGGCTGTAAGCACACATTGGTGGCTCATGTCCAGCTTTTCATCCACCAGTACCCCAAGTCCTTCTCCGCAGGGCTGCTTGCAATCCCTTCATCCCCCACCCTGTACTGATACTGGGGGGTTGCCCCGACCCAGGTGCAGGACTTTGCAGTTGGCCTTGTTAAATCTCACGAGGTTCACACAGACACACTTCTTGAGCTTGTCCAGGTCCCTCTGGATGGCATCCCGTCCTTCTGGCATGTCAGCTGCACCACTCAGCTTGGTGTCATCTGCAAAATTACTGAGGGTGCACTCAATCTCGCTAAGTCATTGATGAAAACTGGTCGCAGTACGGACCCCTGAGGGACACCACTTGTCATCAGCATTCATTTGGACATCAAGCCGTTGACCAGTACCCTCTGACTGTGACCTTCCAACCAATTCCTTATCCACTGAACAGTCCGCCCATCAAATCCGTATCTCTCCAATTTCTTCACAGGAAATATGCTATTTCTTTCTTGAACTAAATAATTAGGTTGTCATGTTTTAACCCCAGTTGCCAACTAAGCACCACACATTCTACACAATACAAACACTATTTTTAAATTTATGTTTCAAATACCTGAAATATTTCTATTTCAAATTAACTGATTGTTTTTTTGAACAAGAAAAATAAAAGTGTTTTTACACTGAGTTGTTGACTAGTCCCAAATTGGGACCAAGGGTCTTCACAATCTCTCACCCTTACAAAAACATTTCATTACAGCCTAATCTACTAGTCTTCCAAACTGGTTGTCTCCTATAGCACCTATTTCTTCCCACTACCAATAGAAAGAATGGCCTAATACAATGAAAGAAGATCTTTTGAACTCCTCTTGTCATTTTTCCAAATATTGAAAGTCAAATCAATGCAGACTCACAGCATACTCTGGTAGACCATGCTGCATGCACATTTTTGTGCCAGAGATTTCAGTTCTTGAACGCAGTACACTACTATTCTGTATTCTAATTTTATCTCCATATCCTGAAACATCATCTCTGACTCTCTTTGGACAGGCAAAAGAAAGAGGAAAGACTGGAGAAAATATGCATAACACTCAACAAAAGAAAGTAAATTAAAAGATGTCTCCAAAGCTGAATTCCCTTTTCCAGGCCAGAAATCACAGCAACAGAAAATCAAACAATATTGATTGAAGATAACCCTTAGAGGTCATTTAATACAACCTGCTGTTTGAAACCTCCCAAATGAGGTTCCTGTCTCTCACTAATGACTACCACTAATAACTGTACAACTGTTACATCCAAGTCAGCATTATCAAATTCATCATAACAGCATGGATTACTTAATTACAAAACTAACAATAAGCCCAGTATTCTTCATAGTCAATCCTGATAAAAAAAATAAAACAGTTCCGAATGGAGTCAGGATTTCCAAGACAAGACACTTCTGAATTTAGACAGACAAAGCAAGTAAAGGAAAAACCCCCCAACTTTAAAAAGCAGTACTTCTCTCATATTTATTGCTACCTATCACTATATATCATCAAATATAAAACTTAAGAACTAGAAGATCTTCAAGCAAATAAGCAAGTCCACCTTTAGCTGTCTGCAAGGAATGTTATGTTTGTTTTTAACTAGGATGACACTAGCAGCTCCCCATTTTCATATTTACTTTTTTACTTGTCCTGTGATTCCATACTGCAGACCGTCTTACTTTAACTACTGTATTTGATCATACTTACAACAGATCCTTTTTTGATACAATTCAATTGCTTTCAGCAACTCCATACATGTTCTCTGAATAGAATGGAACAGCTGACATTGAAACAGAACACAAAAAAACTGTAAGCATATGCAAGAAACATGATTAAAACACAAGAAAGAGCTTAATTTTTTTTAGAAATTATTAGGTATCACTATTTCCTTCTTGAACAATGAGTAATCTTTCTGGCTTGAAGGCATTTTTCCTTATCAATTGTGCTTTTCTTCCATTTAAGTTATCCACTGAAACTACAGACAGACCAATCATAACATACAAAGGAAAATAAAGACAAAAACAATTTGGAAACATTTGGATAGTTAACAAAACTATTCATGATTTTTTTCTTATTCATTTCTTTGGATACATATGAAGATGTACAAATTTTTGTTTCTAAAAACCCACACCAGAGCAACAAATTATCAAAACGTCTACCATGTTTATAATGTGTTAAGTGGCAATATGCATACTGAATTTTAATACCACAAAGTCTAGCAGAAGAAAATTGCATGGGTATGTCAACACAGAAAGTTATTGATTTAAACTGGACTTTTTACTGGCATAGCTCTAGTTTTCTAACCAAATTTATAAAGCAGCAGTTTCCAAAGGAAGTCAGGGGCGAAAAAGTCAGCCTTCACTAAGTTTGCAAGTTGTTTCTAGAAAACAGAAAAATTACTACTCTTTCTTCCTATCTATCTAAAACCTCCAATTGGTAACTTAAACTCCACTGAATCAAGTATCATACTAATTTAAGCAAAATGGACTACTGGCTCAGTAACTGTCTTCCTTTGCATCTGTTAACTCCCTGTACATTTACATGGGTCTTGTCTTTTAAATTGAGAGTGTGACTTGCAGTTGAGAAGTTGTCCAAGTGAAAACATGCTTGTACTTTTCTATCTGGTAAACATAAGTTTCCCTATTTCCAGTCCCACCTTAGTTAACAAAGCATGCTTACTGATGAATCTGCAACACAGTAAGCATGGTAGGAACTCAGGTGTATATATTTAGAAAGCATTGTTTCCATCCTTACAGCTTATTTTACATCCATGCTCTTGATTTATAACCCATCATGAAGACCCCACAGCTAGAATTGTCACATTATAAGTTATCACTATTCTAGCTAGAACTGCAGGGGTTTGTTTGTTGTAAAACAGCCTCTTGCATTTCAGCTAAAACGCAAATAAACTGAGAAACCTAACTCAACAGTTTTCTAAGAAACTGAAGAAAAAACAGTAAGGCAAAACATTTACCCTTAAGTAACAAAACAATACTGATAAAACTTCGCTGGAAGTTTATAACAACATGGTTATTACAATTTAGAAGATCATTCTCTATCTTTTGCTTTGTGTCCAAGGTGCTCAAGCTCTTCAATTTGTAGAACCTTGATTTTTTTTTCAGTGGGGTTGAGGATACTGACAGCACAACTGTATTTGTCACACAGCAGGATTTCTTGGTCACACTTTACAGACTTTTAGAAGCTGTCTTTGGTCATGTCAAAACCACTAATCTGCCCAAAAGCTCCAGAGAGGAGAGTGCACTATGCACCTTGCTCCTGCTTTATATATTCCATGGTTTTCTGATATTTGTGGTTTTTTTATAACTGTCAAAAAGAATGTCATTTGTAGATACTATAGACTACTATTTAAAAAAATGTTTTAAACTGGTATTAGCAAAGGATAAAAAGAAAAAACTTGCCCCCAAAACCTGAAAATAGACAGAAGAGGTGTTAGGTTCCCAGTCAAGCTTGAGGGACATGTGCTTTTGTATTACAAAATGCCACTATACTCCCCATATTTACACAGGTACTTCTGCTAAAAATTGGAAAGCATATTATAAGAAAATAATGATGAAAATGTATATACATTATCATATAGTAGCTATGTGTACACATCTTAGAGGCTTGATGGAAATTAAAATGCTTTAATGATTAACAAAAAATACACATTATGTAGATATTACAAACCTCTAGTTTAGCATCCAGATCCGCATCTGAAGCCACAACATGTTCATCTTCCTTTTTGCCTGTGACTTTTATAAGTGTTTGTTTTGTTTTCCAGTATTTCTGCTGCATTTTATTGACCACAGATTTTTCTTGGCTTTGAGCATATTGGTCATAAAATTCCCTTGGATAATTGCTAAAATATTAAGAAACAAAATTATAAAACTTCAATAGGATGCTTAAAAAATAAGTCTAACAAGCTAGATTAATACACTTCCATTAAGCACACTGCATTTGCATGCAGCCGTATGTATTCTAACATGCATTTCTCATTATGCATTAATAAAAAAAGCAATTAAAAATAGCACTATTCCACAAATATTTCCCACCCTACTTTGAAAAACAATACACTGCTTTCATTTCAGCAGTGTCAGGATTTCACAAATTTCATTTTATGAACGGAATTAGACTACTTGCCCTCCCTTTTTTTACAACTGAATAACAAAGAATTAGAAGAACACTAACCTCTTTTTGAGCATGCTATCTGCAAGATAGATAGCTCACATCTTTATGCAATGACTACATGAAAACTGCAGGTGCATAACAAGTAATCTTTTTTTCAAAGATTATTTTCTACTGACAGATGATTTTGCATTCCTCTAGCAGACCTAATAAAAAGTGCAATCTAAAGAGAAACTCTGTAACATTCAAACCACACGAAGGTGGTTTAATAGAAAATACAGCCCCATAATCAAACTTGATATCTTTCAGGAA